ACCTTTACTTTAGGAAACAGTCTAAAAATATAAAATTACAGTGAAAAAAATTACATGTAAAGAGATGCAAATATATTTTTCTCTTTCTAAATCATACCCATGGTTCACAATTTTGTGTGTGCAAACTTCAAATTAGCTTTTCTTAAATATTCATATTACATATTCTTTTAGTTGAATTTATGTTTATCATGTAATAATCATGCAACTTAAAATAATGATGGTATGTAAAGGGACTTTGGAAGGAGACGTGGAAAAAAATATGAAAAATACAAAAGTACTTTTTTCCTCATTATATTTTTTCCATCTACCTTTGTATATACGTTTCTCTCCTCTATATTCACGATAAATTTGCAACATGTAATCTTTGCGAATATGAACTTTTTATTGTGCTTAAAAACATTTTTGTATAGTAATACGAACTCCGTAAATAACCATATTTGTAACAGTTTGAAGGCAAATATTTTTACTATGAAGATCTGAAAAGTCATAGCAGAATATTTCGCGTCGCTGAACGCGAAGAACGACATAATGCAGTCATCACTTTTAAACGAGTTTCTCGATCTTACGCGAAACGAACAAATATAACAACAGTATTTTGACAGGATAACATGTAACTGTTTCGAAGTCTCCCAGATTTCTCGTTCTCTGTTTATAAGTCAATGTCTTGATGATTGATCGTCAATTCCAAATCCGAACGGGTTAATAATTAAACTCACGTCAAAGCTAATACATATTTTTTATTGAATTTTAGAGTTTTTAATCATGTAAAATGTAAATAATCTGGTATTATAGAAGAGCAGAATATGTGTATAACGTGTAGTACATTATTTCTTCTCTATTTACTTAGTTACTGATATATCTATTATACTTTATTTATCAATTGGGAAATAATAATTTTGTTTGGGAAATAATAATAATAATATTGTTTATAGGGAATCCAGAATGATAAAGAAATGTTGACGGAATTTTGTGTTACGATTTAAATAAAAATAATAAAAAATAATTATTGGTATTTTACAATGCAAAGATTGTAATGTTATAATCTGTCTGTTTCAAATTGTTGATCGGGTAAAAAAGAATTTGCGAGTATTCATTTAATTATTACATTTCTACCATATTTTCTATTAAAGGGTTAAAAAGATCATCGCTCTTTACGCAGGTGCAGAGGCGCGTCGAGATAAATGGTGGCACGCAATTATCGAAATCACATTTCACCGGGTATTTGAGGAAACTCGATCCTATTCTATCGTTCGCACGCGAAAATCGAGTTCGATTCCGTGTAAAGGGCTCGTATAAAGTGCTAGACAGCTAGAACAAGAAAAAAGCATGATATTTTGTTTCACGGCGTGGGAAAGCGAGCGTACGGAGACACTTGTTATTCTTCTTCACTTGTTTTCATAAAACGCGATAGAGGACAATAACTTTTCCAACACTTCACAATTTTGCAAAGAAAATTGTTTGTATATGCAGTATTTGTATTGCAGTAATTTATATATAACTATTAAGTAAAATAGGTGCATCTGTGCAAATTAAAGGTATAAAGATATTTATTTTCAATATAATCTAGAACAAATTTTGTAGAAATTAAGTTTACATTATAATATGGATTTTTTTAGCAGAATTTTTCATTTTAATCTGAATAGGTTTTAGATATTTTTTAAATAGAAAAGAGCATTTTTTATTGTTCGTTAGCTAATGAATAATTATTTTAATAATTTTAAATAAATTAATCGATAAGCACAAATAATTAACTTAGAAAAGAGGCGATATAAAAGTATTTTGTATTATTTTGCGTACCTATATTTAAAAAATTCCCATTTATATTGAATCTGTGTTTAAATGAAACAATCATATACTCACATTAGATTGGATTACCAAAATTTATCTATATTAGCAATTATTTTAATCCTAGATAGAGCTCACAATAAAATTTTTAAGGAATTAAGTACAACTTTTTAACTGTATTAATCTAGAAAACCCATTAGAACATTTAACCAGAGCGACTCTTTTTTTTATTGAAATTTTTATTATAAAAGAACAATATAAAAAAATCTAGCTTGTATCATAATCTTTCTTAAGGATTTAAGGATCTAACTTTGTTTGCGAAATTAAGAATTATAAGATATTAAAGATATAAAGTATTCTATTTGTTGTATATTCTTGTTTGTATGGAAAAAAACTTACAAGTTATAACAATCATTTAGCAATAAATTCTTTGGGAAGAAACCTTTTCCTATGTAGTGATATACTTTAAATTGACGCGAAATGAAGTGTTGTTCTCGTAAAAGTATTCTTTTTTTTAGATGGATGACACGTACTGTGACGTAGTTCGTGCTGTAGTAACTTTATCAGAGTGATACAGAAGTACCTATTCAGAAAGCTATTTTTTAATTGCGTAAATAATAAACTTTGCAAGTCCACTTCTATTTTCAAGCGTTCACACTATACAATTTACATGACACACATTTACATACTACGCGTAAGACCATTTGTGATAAGAACAGAGAGAAAATATAGGTAAAAACCTAATAAAGATAAACTACGATATTTTTAAAGCTGTTAGAAACAAACTTTGTTATATTGACAGTGTTTTTCAATAAAACTACAGTGATACTGACAAAACACAGCTCTTCACATTCCAGGTTTAGTGCAATCTATGAGATAAAAATTTACAACTATTTTTGTATGTTGACAGCTGGTTTAAAAACGAAGCTGCATATTGACATATCGATAAAATACTCTAAACATAAATTTAATTTATGAGATATAAAAATATATTTTTAAATCTGTGATTTAATTTTTTTACAATTCTAATAACTTCTTATTAGGCTGATCAGCTTTAAGACGTAATTTATATGATCATTATACAAATAATTATTACAAGGATATAATTACAATGTGAAATTACTTAATTTCAAGATGAACAATATAGTTTTAACGATACGAAGCTTTTTGTCATACGCATCTGTCTTTACTAAGTTACGACACAATTAAGTGACTTTAGGGAAGCCACTTAAGCACATCTTAGCTTAGTACATACGATGTATCATCAATGTATCGCGCAAACTGCAATCCGTCTTTATCTCATCAGCCTACGTCGTGCTCTTGATTTATCACCGCGAAGAGTATACTTCCACTCTGAGCTGTTCTTGAATTATTGAACTGCAAACATGGAATAAACTCCGTTCGCTTCGCTGCCTTCTTCCTCTTCTGTCCGCTTACTACCGCGAGTCGACTTCGCCGAAGTCACAGTTTTGTCACAGAATCAAATTACGAGGTGAAATAAAGTACGTTTTCGTTTTGTTTTTTTTCCGATTGATTGCAGTCCGATGATCTGGGTGTCGCAGTATCGCGAAATGAGGATGACGAGTCACGGCGTCGCGCACGATGTCATTGCTAACGTCGGGAGAGATCAGCAGGTGGCGAATCAGGTGAATCGCGTGCCAGTGTGCCTGACGCAGGCCGACACGGTCGCCAGCGTGACGTTCTTCCTGCTGCTGGTGTTGCTCTTCTTCGTCGCGCCATTCGTGATACTCGTAGTACTGTATTCGTTTATCGTGAGTCACCTGATCCGCGACTCGTCGACGACGTCCGGCGGCGCCAGCGACTCGTATCACAGCCGGGCCAGGAGGCAGGTGGTGTACATGCTGCTGACGGTAGTCGTGAGCTTCTTCGTGTGCCTCTCGCCCTATCGGCTCCTCATCTTCTACATCGTGATAGCGCCCGCCGAGCAGATAGCCGCGATCGATTACGACACGTTCTTCTGCCTGCTCAATTTCTGCAGGATCATGTTCTATTTGAATAGCGCCAGCAATCCGATACTGTACAATTTAATGAGTAGCAAGTTTAGACGGGGTTTCTTGAAACTGTGCGGTTTTGAGAGCGAGAGGATCGCGCACAGGAGCATGGTCAGCGGCGTGAGGAGAGTCGTGGCGAATCAGCAGGAGGACCTAAATCAGGAAGAGAACTTTTTATGATCGGACGATATCGACGTTATTAACGCATAATGCGGCAACTGTGATTCACAATACCTATGTACGAAGAAATAAACGACCAATGCACATTAGTTAGAACATTAGATAAAAAATTATTTTTTTATCTATTTTTTTTCCAAAATCGGAGAATCATACTTAATCCAATATGCATGTTGGAAATATTGAGAAAAAGTGCACGCAGTGCAGAAGAATATGAAGACATTAAAAAATTATACTTGCTATAAAAAAATGTTGGAAGTATCGGAAAATTATACTTACTGTATAACAAGGGACATAGGAGCAATGGACTTACAATTATGCTTACGTAATTAAAGAAACATGGAAATATCGAAAAAACTAAAATTTTTTTTATAGATGAATATGGAAGCATTGAGAAATAATGATTTATGTTCCTACCTTTGTACTAGATTATCGGAAGAAACGTACTTGATATAAAGAGAAGCAAGATGCTGTGCTAATGGTTGAGACTTGTACACGAGAAATATTCTGTGACATTGTGTGAAATATTAAATTTTTCAAAACTCTCGTGAAAGTCACGTCCGAGAATCAGAACGATCCACGCGGATATGCTCTCGAAAAGTTTAAATGTGATCTCATTATCAGTATTGCAGGCGATAAAAAATAGATACGATCTGCCCAAACTGTAGCAAATGTTACACGAGTATTTCTTATATTTCTTTTTTTTTTTACGCAAAGATACATGGAAATTATCGTGAACGTCCTGTGTGTCAAATGATTTTACCATCCTCTTCCCGCAGCTTTGATCATAAGTTTTAGAAATTGTTAACATATTATTTTGTTGAATATGTAGTTCGCATTACAGAAATTTATTTTGCGCCAAGATATTTTTCGCAAGATGTTGCAAGCTATATGTTTTAGAAATTCTTGAAACGCTACTTGTCAGGCGACATTCACATTATGGTAATTTACTGGAGCTTCGCTATAATGATAAATGTACGCGCGTATACCCGCAATAATCGATCTCTGTCTTTTAACACGTTCTAGTCCCATACTGCTTATGGTGACCTACGAGATAGAAGAGAATGTCGACGGTACGTACGTACCTACTTGTACAACACCGGCTTCGACGACCTGGATGACGGGCTTTATCCTGACGACGATCCTCGTGTTCTTCGTGATCCCTCTGCTGATCCTAATAGTCCTATATACAGTGATCGCCAGACACCTGATGGCGAATCCGGCGATAAGTCGCGGACCGGCGAACAATCTGCTCAAGTATCGCAAACAGGTGGTTATGATGTTAGCCACGGTGGTGCTGTGCTTCTTCCTGTGTTTGCTGCCCTTCAAAGCCCTCACCCTCTGGATCATCATCGTGCCGCCCAAGATGGTCGTCTCGCTCGGCATAGAAGGCTACTATAGCCTCCTGTACTTCTGCAGAGTAATGCTGTACCTGAACTCGGCGATCAATCCGATTCTCTACAATTTAATGTCGACCAAATTCAGGGAGGGTTTCCTCAAGCTGTGCGGCCTGGGACCCGCCAAGAGGAAGAAGAAGAAAACGTCAGAGCGTACGGGCACTTACACAACCGGCTCGACCAATTGCAGCAGCAGCCACTCGGACTTCTGGCGAAGACACAGCAGTAACAGGAGCTGCAGCGTGAAGGTACCATGCAACGACCACGCGTCCGCGGACAAACAAATCAGATTGCCTTTATTCACGGCCGTCGTGGCCGGAGATATCGTTAAGAAGAAGCAAGAGAGTTACGTTTAATCCCTCAATTTTTATTAGATCAATCTATATTAATTATATTTCTCGAGCCTTTCGTTTTTGTATCATCTTGTAGAACTATCACTGAATTTTGTAAATCACTGTTTATCCGGGCAACTGATGAATATTTATATTAAGTATTCTGATGCAGTGTTCAATTTAGCAAGCGTAATTTGTTAAAAGTTCGAACACAGATCGATGAATTATATAATAATAAGCTAGTTTTTTTTTCTCTTGCCTCTCTATACGTGCTAGCTCCTTTTTTGTTGTATTTTATCATAATATTATGATAGGATCTCAACACAATTGGATTATTAAGTAGACATAATTATGATTTATTAATATTTAATAATTAAATATGAAATATTTAAATGCTTTGTAGCAATAGCTAAAAAATAACTGTTAACTGAATGTTTACTAAATGTTACTATGTCAATGTTAACTTAGACACGATTTACAAGTCCAAACGAGATTAGAGTACAATAATTATATTAGACACCTGCAATGTCAAGATTGCGATACTTTAGTTCCTTGATTTGATACGTGATACGTTATATATTCGTCGTATATTTATGTAAGCTACGTACACGGTAAGTAGAAACAGTTCTTCCAAGAAACTCACGTAGAAATGGCGAGAGGCGAGACGTTTTTATACGCAAATTTTTCGTTCCTAAACGCTTTAATTGTTATAAATTTAATGTAGATCAATTAAGCAAACAAGTATACGAGAGAGAACCGAGTATGAAACGAAACTGCAAATAACGGAATTATTTTTAATGATTTTTTGCTTTTTTTCGCATTAATTAACATTGAGATTATTTTATTATATTTTAGGGATCAGAAATTTGCTATTCCGCCGATGGAATCAGCGATAAAATCCGACGACAGAAGCAAGATATTGTTAAAAGTCGGCACAAAAGCGAAAACAAAATGGCAAATTTTGTACATAAATCAGAAATTAATTGAATTTTAAGAAACACACCTTGTTATTGAACGTGGTATGGTAGGTATTTTCTACGATGCTGGCATCTCAGAAGAAATACTTTTTAACGAGTATTAGATGCGATGTACAATTTAGAGGTTTAGACGCGATGTACAATTTCTTTTCAAAGCTATATCACATACTAATGCAAAGTAGCAGATTTTACGCAAAACATTTGAAAAACTTTTAAGAAGCTTCTGTGCAATTGTTATAGAAATAGTCATATAAAATGTTATAAGAATTTTTGTCACTTTTAACATTCACTGTCTTTCTAAATAAAGTAAGACTGACATAAATATGACATGATTAATATTTTCATTGTTGAGTTAACGATAATATAATTTAATGCACATAACGTAATCGCTTCAAAGAATTACATCGCCATTAGTGCCATTTTTTTTAGATAAGTATGTTTTAATATAAAAAAATTAATGCACAAATTTTTGCGATAATTTAAATATTTATTGTTATTTATTACAATATATCACAAGAATTATACTATTTGTAAATGGTAGGTATATATTGCATTATTAGATGAATATTTGCCAACTTTGCCAACATTATATTTTCTGCTCATAATATAAACTTTGCCAATTATATTTTGTGCTCATAAAAAACAATAATTTATTGATAAAATTAATGAATATCTAGTAGTTATAAAAATATTGAAATTTAGTATCGGTAAACATGTACATTCATGGTAAATAGATTATCTAAATTATGTTGATATATCAAATATTACAGAAAATATTAATAGCTGTGTATGACACTTAATCTATTAAATTGATTCTGCTATAATGCGCATATTATGTATATAGAACAGAGATGATGTTTAGTTGAGCAGCGATATCCGAACATGATTGGTTAGGTCTAATAGTATAAATATAAATAAGATACAAATATAAGAGATATCTAAATTAAATATATGTTTAATTGGTGCTCATTATTCTCTGCTGAACCATCTCTGCTCAAACATATGTATTATCGTATTAAAAACAATATACTTGTAAAATTTTGTATACAATAAGTAACTCAGAAATTCCCAATTTGCTCTCATTAATGAATTTTTATATTCAACGTCATTACGAAGATTAATTGCGAAGCATCAATTAATATATAAATTATTTTTGTTAAATGTCAAATACATTAGATTGATCATTAAAATTCGAATAAAATATTCATCAGAACAAACTTTAATTTAATTTCACTATAAATTTAGTTCGCAATCGAATTTGCTTAATTTCCGATATCAATTAACTATGGGATTAACTTTCTTAGTAAACGTTTGCGTGAGAGAAAACATCTTCTATTTCATCAAGAAATTCATTCCAGAAGAACTGAGAGAAAATGCATATACTCTCACCACAAATGTACTAGAAGAAGTTTCTTTAATGCAAATTAATATTATCTTAAATACGCATATTTGCATGTTAACAATTCTCTCGCAATTCGAAAAATTTGACAAACTTAATTTTGTTTCAAAAGACCACAGAATATTATCTTACAAAGCAGACATGTGAAACGTTCAGATATATTTTATTAAAATAGTAATAGTTAATTAAACTAAGCAGTTTACAATGTTTACATGTTATTACATAATATAAACTGTTAATTTCAATGGCAATCTGAACCAATTTTCAAAAATATTAATATGCACGCATTATGTACTAATTCATGTTGGTATCATCTTGTATTTTTACCAAATATAATGCTCTTAAGGTAAGCTGCTCATGTACTATTAGAATAATTGAGAGCAATATGTTCTCGATAATATAATAATCAGTTAATTGAGAGAGAAGAAAATTTTGAGAGAATTGTAACGAAACTCTCGCGATTAATTTTTACCAAATAAAAATACAACGTGCCGTGCATAATTATAAATTCCTGATTGTACAACTGCGTTTATTCTTATTTATTCATAATTAATAAGGCATTGTTAAATTATTATAAGTTAATGAGATGTCGTTGTGTGTAATTTGTTATTATATCTTCTATAGGAACGTAGATCGCAAATAGGCACTTTGATTTCTTAAAAGAGTATGATTATAAAAATATGATTTTGTAAATATCTTGTATAATACAAAGATTGTTTTCATTAACTATTTCAGATGTTTATTTCAACAAAAACAATCCATTGCTACAACTATGACTAGTATTTTATCTCTCAAAAAGATAAAATAATCTAATCTAATAAGATAATCTACAAAGATAAGATTATCTTAATAATATCCAGAGGTTAGATATTATTAGGATAATTATATAAGAGAATTATTATTATCTTAGAAACTCCGTACATAATTCGATCTATTCGCATCCAGTCGTCACGTGTTGCGTTTTACAAAAATGATATCGTTCGCCAAATTGTCCGGATGCTCCACGAAACTGTAAACGTAGTATCCTCGATGGTCCATCATATCGATCAGGTACTTTCGCCCTTTTGCATTGTGTATGTACTCCACAGAGAGGGCCTAAAACGCACATGTATGTATATCTTGTGATCATCGTGCCGCAGAAATAATTACGTTCCGTTTCCAGGAGAACACGAGACGCGAGATGCGAGTACACATCAGCGTGTGTAATCTCGCATCAGTCGCGCAAACAGACACGTGGAAATGTCAGATGGGCCGAGGCAAGGGCCGTTATACCTTTATATCCACCTCGTTAAACGGTATTGTTTCTAAGACATCGATCTCGTTGCCTTCAATGTCGAGGCTGAAATAATCGACCGTTTCGACTCCCAACGCGGCGATATAAAGTGTCAATGGAAGGCACTGCACGCGGATATGCTCGCCGGTGTAAGCTACATCGAGCGTGTTTTCCGCAGGCGCGTTTTCCGTCGTATTCTCGGGCTCGTGCAAACGACCTATGTTCCTGGCCATGAGAAAGGATGCCTGCAATTTCGAGAGACTCGTCAGACTTTTTTCAAGTTCTCGATAATGTCAGTTTAATCGAGCGCCAAACCAAAAGTTGGTGCTCGGGTTTCGCGACAGTTGTCTCAAAGTCGCCGCTAACGATGACAAATCATCGATCGTTATTCCTTACCACCGTGGGGTTCTTAGTGACGCTGAGGCACGTCGGCGAGAGATAGGCCTTTCTGTTTTTTTGCAGCATCTTCGTGAAATTGATGGGATCCGCTTCTATCAGGAGGCCCGACCATCCATTAAATCGCTCCAGAAACAATGTGTTGCTGCGCATTTCCCCATCGTATGCGCCACACTCTATGAAAAATCCATTTTTCTGTAGAGAGCAATAAATGAAATTCGGTATTTATTAATACGCTAAGAATCGATCGAGCATTTGTTATTGTGCATTCGTCGAATCGCTTATTCCTACGAAACACGAATTTATTTCTTGCATTTTTCATGAAATTGTGATAACCGTTTTACTACCTTGTCGTTGAAAATTTCGCGTATCACAGTTGATTGTCCCATTGACGGATCTTCCACATCTGGTTCCTGTAACTCATATGGCTCATCTGGATCATGATTCCATATCATCCAATTTTGTTGAATATCGGTCAATAAATCGTGAAAGGCTTCTGGGCTCAAGGCGGATATATTCTTTTTGTTGTACCATTTTTCACCTAAATAGTAATTATCGTTATTTTTAAAACCTTATTTTTGGTATAACTTGAAGAAATATGAATTACAAACTATACGCGCAATAAAATATTTTTATAATATATTTTATTCGGTTATTATACAATATTACTATTCGAGATAAAACAATTCATGCCATTATTTTTATACAAAGCAAAATAGGAACTAAATTTAAATATTATACATGCAGTCTTATATTCTTTTATTAAAATATTCATTTTTCTTAGTTTAAGAATAATAATGTGTGAATTAACTTTCTTCTAAAATAGTTCTACTTGAAATAATATCCACATGATATTTTTAAATGAGAGAATTCTGCATCTACAAAAGAAAAATAATTTTCTCCGACTTATTGTTAGAACAAATAATTAAAACGTCCACACAGCTCAATTACCTGCTCGGTTACCATATCTGGGTTATCGGAACTTTAGTCAAATATATTCCTTGAAAAGTGGAATTTTCTCAGATAAAACAACAAAGTAAAACTGCACAATCTTATACAATATATCCAGTTACACATATCTATATATTTATAATAAAACAATAAAAATATATGTAAAAAAATATATATGTCTATATCATAATACACGAACAAAAATTATTTTTCTTTATACTTCCAAAAGTCCGCTATTGAAAAACGTCAGTCAATGTCCAAATTTGAAATTTTATTTGTGATAATAGACACGGCTTTTATTCATCACCTTGTATTTTAAAAACATTGTTAGCAATTCTCAATATTACCATTCTACGAGGTTATTTGCGTAATTTCAACCCGTGTAGAATAACGTACTGTACCTCATGTATATCATCACGTGATATGAATGCTATATGCTCGGATCGCATTTCGCTAATTATATTTAATACGAGTGCCGTGGTCCAGTAATGCCCGTTCTAGACTGGAGGATGAGCCGACTCTCGGCTCATCCGATTACGATCGTCCGTCTACACTGCACAATTTTAAGTTGTTTAGGTTGGTACGATTGAGAGCTAAATAACTTCAGTATGTATATATAAGAAACTGTCAACGAGAGAAATGGTAAAAGCAAGGAAAAAAAAGATTTTGGTATATAAAAAAACTACTTTTTTTTCTTGTTCTACAGAGTCAGCATTATCAATAAAATGTGTACATTTTTTATGTGTTTAGGAAGTAAAAACAAGATGTGTTTCATTTGACGAAGAAGAAATTTTTAATTTAATATCAATATATTTTCTGCCAGCAATACAAAATGAGTTTAAAAAAAGTAAAAGGTATATACGAAAAAATCGCTACTCTCCATAACATGTCAGAAGAGTATTGCAGAAATGCAAAAGATATTCAAACTAAAATAAAAAATTTAAGATCTGAATATATAAAAAAGAAACCCAAATTAGGTAATAAATCAGCTGTACTACTTATTAAACAACTCATTTATAATATTTATATAATAATTTATATAATATTTATAATATTTATAATATTTATTTACTATAACTGTTTAATGTTATTATGTATAGGAGGTACACTACCTGATGATTTTCCATTTTATGATGTTTTACATAAGCTGTGGAGTGAAAAAGATATATTTAATGATGAACTTCTTGATGATTCAATGGTTGATGATAATTCTGATGGTATATTAATAATAATTTTTTAAGGATTTTTACCTTGTGTAATAATTTTTCTGTATTACAATAAATAAGGATGACATTATTTCTAATAAAATACAATATTTTAGATAACAGCAGCAATGAAGATCCCGAAGGTGAAGAATTATTAAAAGATGTAGAATTTGATTACTCGCCTGAAAATAATAGCGGACATTCTACAGATGTCGTTCATTTATCCTTGTTTAACATTCGGTGACACCAAATGTTAAACAACAATAAATGAACGACACAAGGTAAAAATCCTTAAAAAATTATTATTAATATACCATCAGAATTATCATCAACCATTGAATCATCAAGAAGTTCATCATTAAATATATCTTTTTCACTCCACAGCTTATGTAAAACATCATAAAATGGAAAATCATCAGGTGGTGTACCTCCTATACATAATAACATTAAGCAGTTATAGTAAATAAATATTATAAATATTATATAAATTATTATATAAATATTATAAATGAGTTGTTTAATAAGTAGTACAGCTGATTTATTACCTGATTTGGGTTTCTTTTTTATATATTCAGATCTTAAATTTTTTATTTTAGTTTGAATATCTTTTGCATTTCTGCAATACTCTTCTGACATGTTATGGAGAGTAGCGATTTTTTCGTATATCAATGAATGCCTTTTACTTTTTTTAAACTCATTTTGTATTGCTGGCAGAGAATATATTGATATTAAATTAAAAATTTCTTCTTCGTCAAATGAAACACATCTTGTTTTTACTTCCTAAACACATAAAAAATGTACACATTTTATTGATAATGCTGACTCTGTAGAACAAGAAAAAAAAGTAGTTTTTTTACATACCAAAATCTTTTTTTTCCTTGCTTTTACCATTTCTCTCGTTGACAGTTTCTTATTTTTGGATTCCATTTGTAAATATTACTTCAAACACTTTCAATTGGTACGATTGAAAGCTAACTTCAGAAGTCTTTAGTATGACTTTTATCCGTCTACACCACTCACTCGGATGAGCCGAGAGTCGGCTCATCCTCCAGTCTAGAACGGGCATAAGAGAATAACAATAGGTAACATGTGAGTTACGCAATTACAATTTACAATTACAATTTTCCAATGTTTAAATACGATTTTCTCGAAACGGAAATTTTTATAAAAACAAATATTATTCTACCTTTTTTTGAATAATTTTTTTCTCGTATGTTAGTTCTTTTCCCGGTTGCATTATTAATAGAAAATTACTTTTGAAAATCCTTTTTAGGCGTCATCGTGTGCCGTTTGTTACATGTATAAAACTCGCCAAACCGATAAAGATCACAAAATGCACACGTCTTATTACGTTTTTATTAAGTGTGTCTAGAATGAATTAGAAACGATTAGAACTACTTACCGTTGGAGAAGTTGTACCACGTATGCAGCACTGCAACAGCGAAATAAAAGGACTATATTGCTACTGCCTTTACAAGAAAAGAAGTAAATTTGGAGGGAATTCTCACCTGTTTGATAGAGGTCCGCGGGTACATCATCCAGGTACGTATCGCGTACTGTTGTGTTATTCTCGATAGACGGGTGCCTCGTGAGAAGCACGATGCAAACGACGCACGAAATTAACGTAATCAGAAAAATCCACTTTCGGCGCGAACAATAATTTGATATTTGCCTGTGATAGTTATACATATTGGTAATTATACGCGTTAACTGGCATCTCACCGAGAAATGTCAAGAAGCGGTGACGAGGCGTCGCGTCGTTCTTCCACGTAGCCACGAACGAGGATTCGACAAGAGGTCATAAGTTTTTGCTTACGCGCGCCGCGCGGCTTATCGTCAACTTTTAAACATCGTTTACCGCGTTGCAAACTTTCCGTCGAGAGAAGGAACCAACAACGACATATAATCGTTTACAGTTATATTCAATAATCCCCAAGGATTTGCATCTTGCGCCACTCGGTGTACATTAAATATAGCGATCGCAAAAGATTCCTGTGTGGTTCCCGTTTCTTTGACAAAATTTTTAATCATTTCATTTGCTTACGTAACGCTGCAGTTGACCTTCTCGGAATTACGTGAAATTGAAGAGCGGATTATGAATGTATGGAATTAATTACGACCTAAAACCTGTTGCGCATTGCTGAGCGTACAGTAATACGCGTGGTAATTATCAAATAAGAGTATTATAAGTTCTGCCTATAGAATTTAAGTCTGCTTTTTTACGTTAAAATCGACCTTCGCGGAGATTGAATGGAATTTGAAAAATGAGGCACGAAAGTATAGATTCTGGACTGACAGACAACCGGAAGATCGTTAACGCAGCACCCGTGAAATATGTATAATAATGCGGTTATACACATACAGGTGATGAAAAAAAATATGGTGCATACAGATACAGCAAACTTTTTTTTCTAAAATTATATGGTCCTTTTCCTCTCGGATATAAATATGAATTCTACATTAGACATTTAACATGTTTCCAAGATAGAAAATTAACAACTAATGCTAACGCTTATCGAAAATCAGCAAGCCTGGATAAAAATTATAAACAGAGATAAAAGGCTGATCAAGGTTTTACAAACAAAACGAATCGATCGATTAAAATAACTCAGTATTCAATCCAGAAGACAAAATTACATAAGCTTTTCGTTAAAAATGTAAGAATCGCGTTAATATATATTTTATATAGCTATAAAATGAATAAATTAGTTACGCAACAGTATCTATTCATATTTTGATAAAGTGCATCATGCATTTCTGATTATCTCCATATTATTTGCCTCCCGCATTTACTCCGTGTAATCAAAAGTATAATGTATATAACTTTTAACTTTTTCTCGGACAGACTTAAAAGTGCTTTTAAGCGACGTCGTTCGCGGATTCTGTCAAAGAGTGATTAACGCAACATGTTTCCGCTACGTCTTTCGAAACTTCCGTTTTGCTCCTGCCAGGATTGCCATTGGATTGTCAATCACTGTTCATCCGTGCGGTCGGGAGTACTTCTGTCGAAGTTATTTCTCTTACACGCGCTGATCAGTTTAACAGGCACAAGTCAAAGGGTTAAATTCCAAAGCTGACAGAACGCTCGCGTAATACACAAGGAAACTTCTCGTGGCACAACGTACGCGCGCGTACGGCAAGCTCGAAGTTGCAGTGAACCAGAAGAATGCATCGCGCGGCTTCGACACGCGAAGTAAATTTAGCACGGGCGTTTACGCGAGCGCGTTGTGTCACGGTTCACGGTTCGCGAGGCTACGGCGAACGAAACGGCGCGGGCCGTTCGCAAATGCTGATGACGCCTTCGCACATCACCGAAATGAAATACGCGGAAAGAGCGAAAGGCTCGCCGCTCTCGCTGCCGTATCCCGGCCACGAATATCATCGAGTGCCGTCGACAGTGAGCTTGAAGATGCTCTTTGAAACAAGTCGATCTGTGGGTGTGTGGGTACGTAGTGTGTGAATGTATGTTTATACAGGGTGTCCCAAAAATAAACGAGTTTAATTTAAATCCTCGATGGACGATTCGCTTGACAGCTGATTACGACAGACGTAGAAACTATTCGAGTTTGTAGTGGGACTTTCTATCTGTACTTCTAGATTAGAATTTGATGCCTACGAATTCCTGTTTCCTTTTAAGAATATGTTATATAGTTAAAAAGGGAAAAGAAAATATATTTATCAAATACAAATAAACGATATTTATTCTTTTTTTTAAATATCTATATATGCACATTTACAGTAAGTTTTTCATGGATGCTGTATAATTAAAAAATTTTAGTCAGACTTTTAGAGAAGGGAAAACATATAATGAACGCCTTGATAATTAACATTTTTTTAAGCAGAAACGGATTCGGCACCCACCAGTTAATCATTAATAACAAATTTAAAAAGTTTAGCAATCAATTTTTTTAAGAGAAAATATGAAGAGAGATAAATATTTCTTTTTAAAAAAGGCTTGAAAAAACATTAACATAGCGTTCTCCCGATCTCCTTAAAAAAGCATTATTAATTTTACAGAATTGAAATTTTATGTAATATACAAATTGCGATATTATATGCTAGAACAAAAACCTCGTGAGAGAAATAAAAAATACTCGCTTATCTGTTGTTCGATTTAAGGTTTGCTATAATATCTACCACGTTACTAGCAGTTATGTTAAATAATACAATCTACTCACTCTCACGCACGCTAAGCGCAACGTGTATGTGGATTACGGAGATCAACTTCTTTCCAAGGTGGATTGACTTATCTGTCATTAACGAATGTTATTACTAATATTAGACATCGGCGTGTGGTCTCTGTTAAGAGCGAAAATACGATGTGGAGGCCTTCTTTACGTAAGAAAAGCGCGTCGCGTGTCTTCGCATGGTAACAAACGATGACTTGAGGAGTCGCATTTTTTCTTTCAATTTGCATAATAGGTATTGTCTGGCGTAGCGTTTATCGATGATGTATGCAGACACGATAGCTCGGAAGATAGGAAGTTGAAGTCTACTGAAGACAGTGATCGAAGAAATATAACAAGTCGCTAATCGATAACATTTCAACAATTCACGTGAATTTTTCTTTCGTTGCTAATAAATGTAAAAGCTCAGAATTTAAATAACGGAATGAAAATAAAAATTATTCTTTGCAATTATTTATTAAATGTAACGTTATTAAATATATATTATTTTACAATAATTGAAGTAAAATACAATCATTGATTTATTAATATTTAAATCACTATTATAACACGCAATATCGACATTATTTGTTATTATACTAAATTGTCATATTTTTCTTAGCACAAGATATCTAGAAGAGCACTGACATTATCGACCGTTTTCAGTCATTCAATATGAATATTTGGCATGCAACAATTAATTTTTTAAATTTATAGTTACTCTGTTTTTCACGAGTATGTACATACATTCTACGTTAGAATATATTATATATTTTTGTAAAACTTAATTTTTTTATGCACTGAAAACAGTCGATAATGTCAATACTCTTCTTTAATTATCCTGATAATCACGTTACAGTTAATAAAGCATTAATTTTTTTTGATAGTATTTCTTCAATGTTGCATATTCGCGCGAGAATATTAGAAATGAAATGTATTAGAAACATTCCAGGAAACCTTCGTAAACTTAAAAAAATGCCAAACGCTTTTTTTCTTTAATCTAAAATGCAACATATTGATTTTTCTAACAACTCATATATGTTTCTCATGTACACATCATTTGAATAATAATCTTACATAAATTCTTTATTAATCCAGAAAATTTTTAAGCAGTTGGCATTTATTAATGATAGCTTCAAGAAAGCTTCGATTTAGTTTCACGAGCGGAGGACACATATTCAATGAGACGCAAAAAGCAAATTAATTTGAATGTTCAGGCAAAGTTTCAATGAAGTTTTGAACTCAACGGACATATCGGCGCGTCGAAGCGCGCCGGTCTCAGGGACGTCCTGTATTCCATCGGCGTCCGTGTCGGCTGTCGCGCTATATCTTCCTTCTTTTTCTCGGTCGAACGTTATCGGTTCACGTCGCAGTCATCGACGTAGACGGCAGCCGGCAGCGGCGATCATCACATGATTTTCGTGACGTTGTAGCGCTGCTGCCTGCTGCATCGTCGTTACGAACATGGCCGCGGCGGAATGCGAAGCGAAGGAGGGCACCTCGGCGGACCTGTTGAAAACGCCGGTGTTGTCGGACGAGGCGGTCAGCGCGATCCAGAGGGATGAAAGCACCGGCATTCCGTTGCAGACGCCGTGGACCTTCTGGCTCGACAAGTGAGATGGAACGCGGTGATTTCCACCTTTTTTCCGTTCCGCCGTGCGACGCATCCCGACACTCCCGACGCGACGACGGTGCATCCCCGATCTTTTATCTCGCCGCTCTTGTCAAACCGTTGACACCGCGATTGTTCCGCGACAGCTCGCGAGCAGCGTCGATCTCCGAAGGTCGATCGGCAACGGATCCGAGATCGCCACCCCTGATCTCCCTCTGTTTAAATAGCTTAACTCAACGCGATGCACAAAAACGTGATAGAAATTAATTTAATATATGTGTCTTTATAAATTGTATGTCACTCTTCTTTCTCGCAACCGCCATTGCGTCACCGAAGAAAAGTTTTTTCGTACATTCGTATTTATGTGTTTTATCAATGAATAACATATACGTACATACATAAAGTATTTACCATTATCGTTGCGCGAAAAAAATGCAAAGGAAGAAAATTGATGCATTCAATTATACAGTTATATAGAGCGTTTTAAAAGTAAAATTAGTAGATAATGTTAGGCAGAATATATAAATGTGTATAAGTTTTTCTTGTAATTTTAAAATAGACCTCATAACACATCGCTAATTCGAAACAATTGCTATATATTAAACAGAGCCATTCCCGGCACAACCACCGAAGAATACAAAAACAATCTGCAGAAGATCTATACCGTAAACACAGTGCAAACTTTCTGGGCGGTCTTCAACAACATACCAAATGCCGGGGATATGCAGGTATGATAAAGAATCTGTAAAAATCTGCAGAATTAATTAATTCGTCAGTATAGTACGTTATACTTAATTATTATAGGAAATAAAAGAACTTTAAAGATTTTATTTGCGCTAAAAATAATTTTGTTAAATCTGCAAATAATTTTAACAGCAAATTTATATGTTTCTACGAAGAAATTCAGTCAGTGGAATTTTTCTATTTTATTAACATAACAGGCCTTCGTATAATAAATTGATTGTGACAAAAAGTTTTATTGCCCTCATATATATGGAATTTTATTTTAGCAGCAAAACCATTTTTCCATATATAGAATATACTTTTTGTCGTTCGTAAAGTAGGAAAGATTATCATAGACCTATTATATTTATAATTGGCATTAATTATATTATTGCTTAAATTGCTTCTATATAACGTTTAATTACACTATTTAGCATTTATTAATGATAACGCCGCGTCTTATTATTTATTTGCCATTTACAATTTATCATTTATATTTCACATTAAGTTATTTTTATTGATTTTTGTCCCCAGGTTAGATACAGTTACCATTTAATGAGAGACGACAGATACCCTTTGTGGGAAGACAAACTGAATCAAAAGGGTGGTACCTGGAGATTAAAGTGCCATAAACATGATACTGTAAATATTCTAATACATTTATACGAACATTTTTAGTTTTTGTCCAAACAATTTATTTTTCTATTTTTCTGCCCAGGACTTTGAAATGACGTCTGACATTTTTGTGTGATAAAATTTAATTTTGCAGGCACATGTGTGGAAAGAAGTGGTGCTCGCAGCTATCGGAGAACAGTTTGCCTCGGATGTGGCTCAGGACGATGAAATTTGCGGGGTGACTGTGTCCATTCGTGACAGGGAGGATCTCATTCAAGTACGTATGTCGTGGACAGTGGCGTTCAATCGTTTAATGGTACGTGATCATGGTAATCAGATGGAATTGAAAATGTATTATCTTTTCAGATTTGGAATGTAAATGCTGATCTAGTATCAAAAGCCACGGTTTTATCCAAAGTTCACTCTCTAGTGCCTAACGTAAACTTCCTGGGAGAGTTTTATAAGTGTAAGTATTGATATTCTTCTGTTAGAAAAATTTACAGTCCATAGCAAAATATATATTTTTTTCTAGATCATAAATCCCATCACGCCTACGGGAGACGTTAAATATACGACAACATTGTGATGAAGATTATATTAAATCGTTAAATATATTACATAAGATTACGACAATAACGAACATACGTTTATGTGATCTATCAACAATGTTCGTATTATCGGATAATGTGAACAAAGTCCTTTCTGGAAAACTCGAAACAACGAATATGTTAAAGGGAGAAAAACAGTTGTCATTATACATATATATATATGTGTGTTTTAAAAGTTTGTTACTTGTGAATTTTGTTTAAATGCGCATTATTCGATGCGTTGTTTACACGCTGGATTCGATATCTGGAATCGAATTGCTGTTGTAACCGTTTTACAAACGTGAAATATATTTTTATATTTACTATATGCGCGTCTGTGCAGTTTATGTTTCTCAAGACAACATGCTTTTATAAGAGTGCGTAACATTTCAAGATATTACTGCTTGACACGTACGAAACTTTGTATCCTTATAATTATATATGGCCTATAAGAAACACAAGGTGATTGATTATCAGTTAGGCTGGTTGGAATGCCTATGAAATTTGCAAGAAGTGTTTTTCTTAATATAAGTGGTAAACTACGCATTTACGCGAGAGAGAAAGAGAGATTTGCATAGAAAGGAGGAGCACATATCTGGCGCCCACCGTGTTGTGTTATTGATTGAGACTCATTATGTCCACCTTTGAAAATTTATCAACATCAAAAGTAGCATTTAAGAGAAAAATAATGTGAAATTAATAATGCTACAAATGATTACGTGTGCCTATTAACGCGCATAGAGATTAAATATTGACCCTGAATTTTATGAAGACTTGAAGAAAGTGTTTACGTGCGGAGAGTATCGTATCAGTATTGATTATGCCAGTTAACTTATCTCGTTGACACTCGGCTTGTATCTTTATTGAATTTTTTAAATCGAGAATTAACGACATCAAATATAAATTACAAGTTCTCTTTTTTAACACTCAGAACACTCAGATTATTTTAATGTAAAGAGTTCGTGAATCCGGAATATATATGAGAGCTTGAAGTTAAGATTAGATGGAAGAATGTGTATGTGTGTGTGTGTGTAGTTCTGTTTCATATTATAGCAAGATAAAATCTTTATTTTTTTCTGCAGATGAAATACAAAATTTCTTGGTCAAACCAATGTGAACCAAATTTGAATGACAGTTACCCGAAGTTTCTTTGGGGCTCGACTGACGATCAATTAGCGTCATTCAGAAATTCCTTGGAGCATCTTGAAAAACAAATTTGAATGTTTAATTTGTCTCTCTAGAAGCCAGTAACATTACCCGACTACTTGGCGCCGAGTTAACATTTTACGGCTCCCCGACATTATTCATGTTGACGTCAACAAGCGAATGCCTCGAAAACATAAGTTTATTCAAGCAGCCAATGCCTATTAAACTAATTTTAAATCTGACTTAAATTATGTCCGCAATTTGCATTTTTCGACGTTTATGTCGCGCATCGACAGAGTATCACGAAAAAATATTGAGATTCGATCGTTCGCACTGTTTCTACGAGTCATATTCTTACATTAATTAAATATAGCGCGCGTTACGGATTATTTTCTTCAAGATAACTTATTTTAGAAAGAAATCTATTGATTAAAATAAAAACTTAATTAATCAATCATTTAAAATCACACTTTTGACGTTTTAAAATGAGACTGGCGTTATTCACTGTGGCGATTGCAGTACCTGCGAATAAAAGTATAAAAAAAAATTTATCTGAATATTAACACACGATTTATACTTTCCTTAATTGTTTAAGCGATATTAGTTTTACGAGATAGAAAGTTCGACCAGAAGTAAAAGTTCTTTCTCCTTCTAGTTAGAAGAGAATATTAACTTGGCGTCCAGTTCGAGCTTGCGTTAGATTGCAAATTTGGACCGTCTTGCATACAGAACCGGAACTATTATTTAATGAAAAAAAGCAAACATCGATATTCATCGATTACAGTTAGCTTGCGAAGCGAGTTCTCTTTTTCAGTTTTGAGATACACGAATAAATTACGGCGCATCGGGGCCTTGCACACGGCCTTGCTGTGCGAGAGGCACGTGTATACAATTGCGCGGGTGTAAATATGAGCGTTAGATTTTACAAATGTCCCTCTCAAGAGAGAGAGAGGGGGGGGAGAAATGACATCGATTTAGAGCCTTATTACTTCGGTGTAAAGTTTTCTCGCATCTGAGTCATCGTCGATAATTATCTTCAAGTAGCAACTAGTTATTCTCATAAAAGTTGCGGCGCTCATAATCAATCTATCATTAAACCACTTCCTTCTGCTATGAACTATTGTTATGCTTCGAGGATTTTTCTTATGGATTTAAACATTATATAACCATAATTGAATTGCACAATTTAATTCTAATCTAAAGCTTCTTGCTTCTGGTAATCATACAGTGTAGTTTTAAAAGTATATTACGGTACATGCATATCAAGTACGTAACGTGACTAAATTAGTGTTCTCCTTTCAGCACGATGACTAGCTTTTCCTCTTGAAGGAATTTAATATAAAAAATATAATATAAATAATAATAGTATATATATATATATATATATATATATATATATATATATATAATATAAATAATATAAAGAATCGATTTCAACGTGTTATTTTTGGTAGAACAAAATCTGCTACGTGCGAACGTTTCAGCTTCGCGGAAAATCCAAAAATTATGATCTCTCAAAATAAAAGGAGGACGTTTCTGTTTATTCGTGGTTAGTGCTAAAAAAGCAGGAGGTTAAAAGCGAGGAATAGAAATAAATTTTTAATTTCTCTCTTGGAGAGGAACTTAATATAAAGAATATAATAATATATAAATATAGTATAATAATACAATCGATTCTAAAATGCATCATTTTTGGTAGAATGAAATCTGCCACGCGCAACGTTTCGCAGCTTCGCGGAAAGTCCAAAAATTACATTCCTTCAAAAATGTAAATGCCTCTGTTTATTTGTGGATCGAGCCTACTGTTTCGGTATCTGTGCTGAAAAGAAAGGATTAGAAGCGAGAAGTAGGTTATAAATTTTAAATCGCTAGGCAGATTAATTCCGCAATGGTCGCGGGCGCCTCGCGGCACCAGACTAATCTAGCACGCGCCGCCGCTCATTATAATCCAACTAACTATCTGACCGGGACCGATCCAGGATCTTCTCGAGCAGAATGTCCGAAGATACGGGATTTCCTGATTGCGGAATGACCGGAATGGCGCCGCGCTGTTGATGGGACGCCGCATGAACGTATATGTATAACATACATATATGTACTAACACAAGCAGACGTCCTGTTACATGCCTTTGTGTTCAGAAATAATCCGAATTTTTCGCACCTACGCGAGACATCGTTTGAGAAGTCAAAGGCCTCGCAGGAAACTTTAAGGAATCTTCATTGTGGGCGATAAAAAAAAGGGTTTTCCCTAGCTCGATGTTTTATTTATCACATTTTTCTTTTTATTTGCATTCTATTATACAGATATATTTATTGATGCATATAAAACCGGCACTAAAAATTTTCGTAGCGTGACATAAGATCGCTTGATGAATGTATCGTCAATACCATGCACACATATGTCATTGGAGAGACATGAAGATATGCTCCGCGATTTCCCTGTGACTTCATTGTCTTTCCGCGCTCGCGGGATTTTTAACGAAAACAATCTGATCATCGCCTCATTGTCCTAATTGTCCCACCGTCTTTTTTACGCGATATCTTTTTAATTCGCACTAATTTTCACAGGCGTGACATTATCACGCACCGCTGCGCGTGACGACAAATAAGCGACGCTTAAGAAATGAATCCGACAGCGAAATCGCGCATTATCCCGTTGAGATAAACCGTAAATATGGATCGAGGAATTGGACTTCTTACTAATTGCCGATAAGTATCGTATTCCCGTTTTGTAGAAGCACAATTAATATTAGTAACTTGTAACTTCACGCATTCTGCGCTTCGTGATTTATTTGACGATACTCAGGTACGGCCTTCAGAGGCCGAGCGATTGTATATTTTAACGAACAAAATAACATTCGTCACGGGACGCGCGGACTCTTATTTCATATTCGCCCCGCGCGACACGCTCGCTCGGCTCCTCCCAATAAATTATCAATTCATTTCGATGTACTCATCTCACGGAATTCCCTATCAGACTTTGCCAGCCATTAATCAGCCCGCAACATTGTTCTCATCGCCGGTTTCTACATTCCTCTGCATGACGACAACGATGACGACGGTACCGCCTCATAAAAGTTCGTTATTTTGTAGAACATCCTCGTGTCATTTGCAAATTACGGTCGTAATCATGTGACCATTGACCATCGTCGCTACCGACCATCCGGAACTGTTCCTTTGTCCCTTCCTCCCTTTTTTTTGTTTTCGGTATTATACACGTCGAAGGTCAACCGATAATGTCCGATAATTTCCGGCTTGTTTGCGCGAAATCATAAGGTAATGTTTTCCGCAAAGCAGCCGTAGGCAGACATATTTCGATCGTTATCATTGTCATTATCATCATCATCATCATCATCATTATCATCATTATTGTCTTGTTGCCGTCGCGTCATCGTCGTTATGGTACGACGACCCAGAGAAAGAGAATTGCGTGAATTTTTGATCTATTCCTGCACGAGGACTCCCGCATTCCGAGAAAGGTGAGAAATCGTTATCGCTGAAACTGGAATCTCTGTTTCTTTTTTTCCCTACGATTTGTGTTAATGTGACGACTTCGCTCGGATCCACATGTTTTGACCACGCCGTCATCGATCGATCGTTGGACTGATTGTGAGAGAAGCCCCTGCGTATCCGGTAACGATTACGTCGACCGGAACGCTGTTCTCCGCACGTGCCACTTACGTATCGCCGATGCACAGTGTAAAATTTGTTCAATCTGCAGAAAGAGCAAAACATCCTGCTTAGTTGTACATGGAAATATTTAACATTTTTTTCTCATAGATTATATTCCACTAAAATAGATTTATCCAAAATTTATATTTTAATTTAATAAACACACAAGCAAAAGGCTGCTTTGGATTTTTTTATGTAAATGAGATATAGAGAAAATATGTAGTACTTTATAAACTTAAATACTATTTTTATATTATTTTATAGCATTTAAACGTTTTCTCCTAGATAAATCAAATCTACCTATTTAACAGCTATTTAATTAAGCTGCTTAATTAAGCAATGTAAATTAAATTGTTAATTGTTACACACACATTTATATAAAATGTTTTCATTCTTCTAAATTGTACTCTGTACTCTGTACGACGCAATAGAGAAGGAAATTGAAAAACAGGAAATGATTTTCAGTCCCCTTTTCGATCCGCTTCCGCTTTCTCGTCCTTTCTGCATTCC